TCCTTGCGAGGTGCACGTCAGTACTGTTACGTGGGCCCATCTTTCTGCGAATACAATTTTACGCGTTTGAAACATAATTTGCACAGCTTTGCACATTGTTCATGACATCAACAAATACGCGTTTGAAACATAATTTGCACAGCTTTGCACATTGTTCATGACATCAACAAATGTGAGTAAAACTTCTCATTGATGTAAGGCAAGGTTTCAGTGCGAAGATTCCTACTCGGGCATCGCGTTACAGCTATGAAAGAATCCTTATTGCTTGTGATGAACACAAAGCTATTTCACGTGTAAAGTATAATGGACTCTTCATTTTGAATTCCTACTCATCAGGCAGACAGTGTACCACGCAGCGCAAAATTATCTGAGCTGTAGCTCAAATTTCATGATTTGCAGTCAGCCTGCCAGGGTGTACATATAAATATCAACTATGATCACAGCTCGGTGTGAAAAACTTTCTCTGAGAAGTAAAGCGTGTTTGTATCCTGATTATCACAACATTTCTGATACTTATACTTCATCTTGATTATCACAACATTTCTGATACTTATACTTTGCCTTGAAAGCCTGCCAAAATCACTAGCTATCCAGTTGGAATGATGGCTAATATTGATCGGCGTGATATCACCATTCTTTATCCTCTGTGCTGATCCTTTTCTCATAGTATCTATCTAATTTGAATGACAAGTGCTTACTAACAGCCTTTTGATTGTCGATAACTTTGTAAAGCTCCATCATATGTTTTCAGCTCACTTTTAATTGATACCGCCAATCCAGCGAAAAAATTAAACTAATGCAGTCGATAGTATTGCTGTGGGACTTTGCACAAGCCAAGCTACCGTATCACTTACCAAATTGTCTGTCTTCATCCAAAGTTAGCTAGCAACTCGAAGACAATGTACATTCGCCCAGCGTCACACAAAATTCGACCACCATTCGTGCGCTTCTGTAGCAGTCAAAGTCATCCAGAACATATCAGTATCAAACAGTGATGATACAGCTAATCATGATCTGGCTTCAATATTTCTGGAAACCTCAGCAGAAAAACTTACATAGACGAGAAATCGGCATGCATAGCATGTTTGTGGGAATTACTACGTCATGTTTTGACAACATCACAACCACATCACTTTGATAATGATGCATGTGACTTGATATCTCAGCTGCTAACAACGTAACGAACGTTTAAGTGCGTTAACCGTTGCCGTCGCGTCAATCGGATGCGCCTGAATTGATGAATTACGCTGTAGCATGTCTGGAAAGCTAGAAAAGCATGTGACTTGATCCTCAGCTGCTGACAACGTGAAGAACGTTTGAGTGCGTTGACAGAGTTTGAGATGTTATGGCCACGCAAGTAGAGAGGCTCATCTTATGCATTTCAGACTTTTGTACTTACTAGAACATATAAAATTGCACTGGTGGGCATGGTGCTCATAGGCACTCACACGATTGCACTTCGGTTTTGAGTTCTCTAAGAGTGTACTAGCAAAAAAATGAGTAGAGGCTGGGAGATCTAAATTCTGTTATGCCTCTAGAGGGCAGCCTAAAAAAGAGCTTGTCGTCATATTACTAATGGAAGGGTATTATCCAGTTCTTGGGGATACCTTAGATATCTTGTCAAGTCATTTCGGACGCTTCAGATCTAACTTTGGACTTAACGCGTAAAAGAAATTCTTAGGAGGGTCCATTCAAATTGCCTTCGCAAACTGCACGAACTGACCAGCATCAGTGCTTAAATCACTTTCGTTTGCAACGGCCAGCTGCACAATTACTTTTCTTCATTCACCAGACAAGGCTCAAAGCCAAGATTCTCGAGAGTTTCGGTCTGAACAGATTCTGATTACGCGAGAGCTAAAAAAAGATGTCGACACGAGTCAAGTGGCCACAAAAGAATGAGATCTTTCTTGCTATCATTTGAATCACTGAACGAGTCCTAAAGTTGTTGCAGCGAGAGCAGAACATGATAGGGCGAAGGTACTGCAAGAAAGAATTCGTAATTTCTCTTGATCTAAGTTGTCAGGTCGCTAGTAGATTGGCCAGTATGTACTTGTAAGTCCTAACGTCATCAGCCTCAAGAAATTGAGATAGCAAAATCTCCGCGTGCATCTTCATGTACATGCTTAAATCTGAAAGAGCTTGCCTTGGCTTGTACGCTCACCATTGTAATCGGTACGGATTGTCTAGTAATCGCACGTCGCTGAAACACTTTGCTAATTTTGTTCTGCATTGCTTTAGTATATAAACTTTTTGACCAAACGGTTCTGGAATAGCCGTTCTCGAAGTGAGTTTCTATAACAAGGCTTCAACAAGACTGTCAACTCGAACTATCCCCTGTTTTGTCCTGGCCACTCTTGTCTTTATCTGAAGACTGCTGGCTTCTATAATTTGGCCCAATCTGTATTAAAAAACTATAAAAATTAGTGAATTGCTACGTCCCTGTCGACGAGCGTCCTCTTCCTCGCTCTTTCCTGCGTTTGTTATGACCAAGTTTCGCCATACTTTCTTGCAATTTTCTCCAAAATGAGCTTTTATCGCTTGGTGTGCGCTGTGGGCTATCAGACCCAATACCAAATTGCTGGCGCCGTGAAATACCAGGTGAGGCCGTCCAGCTTTGTGGAGAATAGCAGTAATCTTCGAGCAATTTATCACCATAAAAACCTCGTTTCTATGTCGCACAAGCCCCATCTCTCACTTAGTAATTACTTTAACAATGAGCGCATTAAGCAAACGCCTGCCTACCTCTTCGAATTTTTCGTATACAATGTGCACAGGAACATCGAGGTGGTTGGCTAAACCAAGCTGTAAGCTTTTGGATCAAGGAAAATACAACGTCAGAAAACATTGGTAACAAATGGCTTGCTGTAAGCGTAGCTGATACCTCATTTGAACTGGTTGAAGAGATATATGTCGTCGAGAAAATGCCGGTGTTGCTTGCGATACAAAAGACACACCGTAGTCGGACTGATAAATCCAGCATACATTAACTTAAATCCTCACAATTCATGAGTGAACACCACAAGATTCTACCTGGGGCTGGTGCGAAAACTTCACCGAATGTTCATACATATGTCGATAGACGGCGTCACTTAAGGCTTCTAACTCAGTACATCGCTCGTCACAAAGATGTATCCTGTCAACAAACGATGTCCACTTCATCCACAAATTAAATGTCAAAATAATCATCGTACTCTCTAAAAAGATTACCTCTGCAATAGTTTCTTCGGCAGTGTATTTTAAAATAAAAGGATGTTGGAGAAGAATTTCAGCTGATGGGCGCTTGTCTGGATTAATTGTAAGACACTACAGACATCACTTAAAGCAATCAATTAAAATGTTCAAAAATTCCACACAGTTACGAACCTGATCGAGAAAGGAGCGGCATTCCTCGGAGAATACTTCGACTGGCAATTTCAGGCATTGCTGATTAGTAACCTAGGGCAAATGATGTGGGCTTGATGTTCATTTGAAACCATCAGCAAATAGAAACTCACAGAATCAACCAAACCAAAAAATCCGTCCTGGGTCGGGAGTGGATATCGACCCAATGCGACGGAGATCAAAGCAAGACCAAACGACCATATGTCAGCTACGTGGAAAAGAGAAAAGATTAGTAGAACTTCTTGTCAGTACGCTCACAGACTTTTATCTATACCCGGATAGGAATAATCTCCACCACCAATCCGTTCAGGTGCCATGTACAGAAGTGTGCCCACAAACGTTTTCGTTGTGGTAAAACTATCATTTAAAGTGCGTGCCAATCCAAAATCTGATATTTTCACTTCACCTTGTCGGTTTGTAAGCAGATTATGCGGCTTAATGTCACGATGGACCATCCGTTTGTTGTGAATATGAGCTAAGCCATGTAATACTCCAGTTGCAAGTCGTACTAATACTTTTTCATTCTGACAGCCACCACGCAATACAATGTCCTGTAATGAACCTGTGCTCATATATTCCATAACCATGCAAATGGAGTTTTTTGGTCGATCGACAAACGCATCGTAAAAGAAAACAATGTAGGGGCTGGGCCTGCGCAAGAAAAACATTCATTTTAATCTCTGACGCTGTAGCGCACATGTGTCAGACTAACGTACTTTGGTTTGGATTTGCTGGTACTCTGACTGGTAGCAGAGTGCTGGGGCATCGAACCATCGCTCTCTGCCATCGGCACAAGATTGGAATAAAGTGCATGAAGTTCGCGAACCATTTGCCGCCTCTGACCTCGCCCATAAACGGGAACATCCTTCAACATTGCCAACAAAAACGTGAGGAATATACAACATTTCGTTGACGTTGAAAGGAAAAACTCGGACCTTTACAGCAACTACTTTTAGTGTCGGAATGTGGATAGCCTTATAAACGACACCAGAAGCTCCCCGGCCAATCTCTTTGACACGCTCAAGATTTTCTTGAAGGTGAAGACATGAAGCATCGGGAGATGAGATACCAGCCTCGGATACGGCAACGTTTTTTGTCGTGAACATTCCATGATTGGGAGAGTACGCGCTTCCTGCGCTATGTCGCTCACATTCTAACCGAAAAAAATCAAATAATGTTAATTTATCATTGCAACTCCCACAAAGGCATAAAAACGCACCGCTTGGGGAAGGAAGATCCGTCTCAGAACTTGAGCTAAAGTTCAGTCTCATCATGGCTTCTTGTGCTGCACTTGGGCCATTAAATGGTGCATTGGATATTGATCCAGCAGCAGCAATTGCAGCCGCCTCCACGGCATCTCGCTTGGCAATTAGTCGAGTCGCCGCTCGCTGGGCTCGTTCTTCAGCTTGCTGAGGCGTTGGCATACCTTCCAGCTTTAAGCGCAATTGTGGGCGCTTACCAGCACGACTATTTGGCGTCCTTTTAGTTGACTCAACACCTTTCCACTGTAATTTTTGTGTAGCAGAGTTAGGTGATGATGTGTCTTCTAACGCTGTTACATCTGTTGTACTATGCGGTGATAGCACTCCCTGCTGTTTCTCTTCGAGCGAGAGCTGTCTTGTAAGTGAAACAATCTCTTCGTTTACCTCATTGACCGTATTGTCTGTATTTTGCACTGAATCTGCAACCACTTGCGTCGCATGGAAGCTCTGATGACTTGACGCTAACATGACTGAAGCTGGACTAGAGGTATTTTGATGAGCAAACTCTGATGTCAATTCATGGTCTTCAAGGGTTTGTGTAAGCGATTCTCCCTTTGTTTTGTCTAGTAAATCTGGATCTGAAGAGACAAAATAGTTTTTGTACATCCACGGACAATCCCAAAGCTTTACTTCTGCAATTCGCAATTCGCGAGGGCAAATATCGGGAAAAATTCGACTTATCACTTCGTCATCCGACTAAATTGCATTATTACTCAGCGTTAGTCATGAGATCGTTTCAATCGTAATTGACTTGTTCCTCGCACCTGTTCGGTGAGATTAGGCGCTGAATGTGATCTAGTCAACGAGTCTTTCTGTGCTTGAAATGCCGCATGATGAGGACCTCGTCTAGCCCAATGCACAATGGAAGCGACACTGTCTCCTGTGCTTGCTAAAGACGATTTCTTCGAGTAGATTGTTACATTAGATGCCAATTTGTTGTACCTTTTGTCCGGTTGCTGGTCGTAATTAGCGCTTTCTACACGTCCACGCTTATGAAAACGCTCCATTAGCGTTTGGCGGGAGATTTCCTGAATAGATCCGTCGAGCAGATCACGACGATGACTAGTGGTTTTACTAGAGTTAAGACTATTAGTACTGGAAGTTTCGGAGAAACGTGGTGAAGATTGACGGGCAGCCGCAGGTTTGGACACGTGCCGATTCTTCTTGTTCACCATCATGTTACGACTGACTGTGTATCTATTTATCCCTTTTTTTGTTTCAACTTTAGAAATCGGCAAAAATTAAATCTCATTGAATTCTAATAAAAACTATGACATTTGAATCAAACATATCAATAGTATTGTCGTTTAAACCACAGATTTCAAGTTTTTCATCACCAAATATCATGTATAACTTTCAAAAAGTTGAGTGTAATGAAGTCTACTCGTTTGCTTTTGTCTGCATTAATGTAGTTCAACGTGATCGAGAAGTAAACGAGCTGTTATGCGATGTCCAAACATCCCAAGGGTTGTAAAAAAAAAAAAAAATTTAGTGACTTTAGGCGTTCATGCAGCGCTCATCGCGACTAGATTGTGATACTAAGTCAAAAGCATCTCTTGGTACAGATGCGATTTATTTTGTGCTAATGCGTTTGAGCTGGCATTTAGAATTACTCTTAATTCTTTTCGAGTGTATCTGGTGCATACTGGCTTCAGTAGCGTACCCATACTACGCAAAAATCGTAGCGAAGATGCACAACGAAACATCCTTCGTGCTTTACTTTGGCGGCCTTTAGATGCACTAAGGTGCTGTGTGCTGATGCTACAATACTAAAAATTGCTTAATTTATCTGCTTTTATCACTTCAAAGGCTTACTGCCCGGTACCTCTGATTAAAAGTGTGCAAAAACTTAGACTGGACTTGATGGCTATATCCTTAAATGATAGATATTTTTAACTGTTCGAGAGGCGTAAAAACAGCATTCTGGCTGTATACTTGAGTTTCTCACCACAAGGCCAGATCGAATATGTCATCAGACTCCTTTCATGCATCATGGCGGTAATATTCTCCATTAATACGGGAGTCGCTATCTAGCACCTAGTCATTCGCCATGGTCGAATGTTTGCTGATGTCAACAGTATCATCGTAGGCGGACAATCGTTCCGACCTCATTAGAATCTAGCACGATTGCCTACGTGGCTCATTAGAAGAGGATGGGGCCGATTCTGTTACTGGATTGGATATGGTGGTGCCCTACTACATAGCCCAGCATGACCATGGCTTCTGGCTGTAAAAGTATCTGGCGAAAAGTCCCATCACGTTAAATGCGTGGTGTGCTTATGATTTATGGGAGTGCTGAGTACATACGCGAATAGATGGCAGGTGTTCCCATGCCTTGAGGAACGGGCTAAATTTCAAGATGTTTATTTTTCTAAATCTTACATATGCGCTCGAAGTGTCTCAACTATACCAACCGCACCTTTACTGACTCAGCTCTATCATGTCAGCAATGGTTGATTCAAATAAACTTTTCTTTTGCAAAATTCCAATTCTGAATGCACATCGTCTAGTTGAAATTGAACATCGACTGCCTTCGAGTGGCACTATCCTACCCACACACTGAAATCACGTGTTTTTATTCAGTGCAACCGCTAATCAGCTTGCCTTCTCTGTGTCTGACTTCCGAAAACTAGACTCCATGCTCATCGCCCTGTCAAACCTGGTAAGATATCTCATATCCACGTGTCTCTCATCTACTGCTTGTTTTAAGCACTCTGTTCTTGAAGTTGTCGGAGTTCTTCTTAAGCAATTACTTTACTCTCCAAAGATGCGATAGTGTGCGCTATCCAGATGCACGTTTCGTTCACCTCTTAGTGTATCAATGTTCCTTATGTATTCGTCACCACCACAACTTTATCTTACTAAAGCACACAAAATTCTTTCATTTCATCGCTTCTTCGAAAATTGTATGGAATTTTAACTTTCGCCTACCGACTTGTTCTTGTACATTGCACGGTAACTGAAATGTCACAATCTATTTCTGTTGGTTGAGATGGTCTACTATCCTCACGCATGTCAAGCAATTTGGTGTACAAGGATCGCTAAGGAAGTTTCGAAGTGACATTTTGAAGAACCAGATTATGGAACTACGATGTAGTATAATGATAAGCAGTATTTGATTCATTTCGTAAAACAGGTGCACATTTAATATAAATTATATGTCACTTTGTGAAATAAAACGTGCTATAATTGGCTCCCTGAAAACCACATATATACCAGCCAGCACAGCACTTGTCGCTTGCTGAGAGTTACACTTGCGCAAAGCGACGTTCTGGAAAGTGCTGCGACCAGAAGTATGTGGTCTTGAACGCCTTACAGCTAAGGCAATCCATCCTGCCGCGATATAATGTCGTACGTACACATGTCTTAATGCCATATCGCCCAGAAATGCCTCTCGCCATAGCACCATTGAACATTTTCGGTGCTTTTCATCTTACAGCACCAAATGTGCTCATGTGATCTACTAATCTAGACGAACGACCGGAACATTATGTATTCGGTATGAGGACAGCCTCAGGTGATGCCATGTTCTAGGCTCACATTCAGACTAGTGGGTTCGCGACATGAGCGTCCGGACAGTCTGTTGGTACGACGAATAGGTGTAAGAACACCGTACTGATACTGAACTTGGCCCGACGAATTAGGACTTGGACCAGCCAGTTGAACTTGGGCTGATACTGCGGAAATCATAAATCATATAAATTGTAAGATGCAGGCATCTTTTGCGGCAAAAAATCGTCGAAGCGGTTAAGCCCATTGAAGGATTATGGAGGGATACGAGCCGTCGATGAAGTCGTTTGGGATTTCGCAGTAAAGGCGACGCCATCATGATCCCCAGTTTACGTGGATTGGAATCTGGACCACTACGTCCAAGCGAAAGAAAGCCGCATGAACACCTGCTAGAAATTTTTGTATCATCCTGTCAGCGTGGTACATAATCACGCTCGACCTTCTTATTGCGCTTTTGCATGTGCTGTGGACACGACACAGTTCTATTCCTCCCACGCCCCATCAATGCTGACGGTCAATTGCAAAAGATGTATCACTAATGGCCTTTTGAACTTTATAATGGGAAAGGTCATCTCTTTTGAAAGATTAATTTCACCACCCATCGCCTCATTCGCGAACATCTTTCGACGACTAGATCCTCCAACGTCGTCAGAACTTTGCCTCTTCACTCGAGAGATCGCTCAGCTTCGTATCGATGTGTGTCGCTATCCACCTAGAATTTTCATAGATTTCTAGTTACGCGGGTCTCTTGGACTGGTGCTCACAAATCAATTCTGATAATGATTGAGGGTGTCCTAACGTGAAAAGCCGTGAGCGGAAGTTTACTAAGGCTGGGCTGGAGCCGCTCAGACGAGGTCGGGTGTAGTGATACCTACACTTTGATCAGAAAATACCGTCGAGCTCCAAAAGTTTCTATATCTGCATCGTGCATAGACGCAACCGAGCTGCTAACTGTCCTGATCACAATGTTTTGTGGACTGTTTGCTCTGGGCTTGAGACTGTTTATGTAGACTTCATGTTTCTCGATCTAAATAATTGCCGGCTGTTCTGATTACCGTTACAGAGGCCGAAGGCAAAATTAGCAAACTCCATTCGTTATCTATCACATCACCACCTAACGGTCTTTCTTCATTCGAAGCGATGCGATGAACAACTTGGTATGTGTAAAGTTATTAATTTGGTATGGACGTAGTGCAGCGGGGCTGCCGTAGCTTTGCGCTTAGAGGAAGCGTAAGTTAGGTCACCTTTCGTTCAATACTTAGAACAAGTACGAGTTTGGCGGATCGCAATACTTACTCCAAGAGTAATTAACACCTTAACCCAAGGCTAATTAACTCCTTTGTTGAATATAAAAACCGACTTATTATTTTTATCTGCGGCAAAGCCGCCTAATTATAAATGCATATATTTTCCTAAATATATACAGTAAAACCTAAATACATGTGTAACTACTGGCTATCCAGCCCCGTACCGTATTCTTGTTTGGGTGTGGTCACACCATGCCCATCTGGTGTGACACACACCTGTTACCAGGGTATGTGTAACCCCGTTACACGTAGAGTAGGATGATACCCCGGGGTATCATGTTCTAGGCTCAGATCAAGACTGGTCCACGGTATGAGCGTGCGGACAGTCTCTTGGTGACAGCAGATTTGTGAACACTGAACTCATATTGAAGTGAGCCCGACGATTTATGAATCTGAGCCAGCAGTTGTGTTTGGGCCAAACTGCTTAAGCCACAGAGATCATAAGATGCAGAGGAAGTTATCTCTTCTCTTCTCTTCTCTTCTCTTCTCCGTCGAGACACTGAAACCCATCAAGAGAAAGGCAACCCCTTGAAGACATCGATGAGAATTTCTGCATCGAGTATGAAACCATTTTAATTCTGATTGTCGTGGATTGGGATTTAAGCTGATACGTCTCAACGATATAAGCCGCTTAAAGTCCCTCGTCATCAACCTGCCAGAATGGTATACGAGCACGCTGGACTTGTGATTGCGTGATGTTCCAGCATCTATTTACGCCGTTTGTTTGATTCTAAAATCTCGACAGCAACACCTTCACTCTCAAGTTCATTTCCAGAACGCGCGAAACTTGTTCCGAACGGCGCACAGCTTTATTGAAGCTTTATTGATTTTTTTTAAAGAGCTGGAGCTTGACAATCTTTCCACGTCTAAGTCGAAGTAAATGACCACGTGACCGACAAGGTATTATGCAAAAGAATGCGAACCTATATCGATCAGAATCGTGTTGACTGTTTCTCGTCGATAACAATGCCCGCTTTTCCACTTCGCATGACCTCTAGTCACGGTAAAAAAATAACGAATGGTATTACCCTTTAGCGGCGAAATTGATTACAGGTGCTCCAGTGATTCTCGTCTGAATTTTGTCGTTCCGTGCTGCAAAGGAGCTGAGTACCGTGGCTATATCCTTTTCCACATCCTATCCTTTGGTTGCCATCCACCGTACACGGAAGAAGTTTTGATAACGAGTTCATGTTAACAAGCGCATTATTGTGGAGTTCGTACACCATATCTAGGGAGCGGATCCGAAATCCTCTACAGTAAGGTGTACCTCTTTTTCAAGAGAAGTGAGATATTAGGATTATTCAAGTTTAGAATATCTACAATTTACTATATTTCATTATGATTTCTTTTACTCACAAACCAAAGTCAATTTCAGTCGCCATGTCACCCCTCCCTTAGCATGAATATTTAACAACTTTCACAAAATTGTAACGTGAATTTTGGTACGGCTGAACAATAACGTTTTTTGAACTATTCACCAAAAGTATAAGGCTTTTACGCAATAGTATACAACTGCTCGAGTTTTGGCGTTAATAACACCAACATGTTTGTCCATGAAAGTTAAATGCTGATTAGATGATGAGATGATATTGTGATCTTATCACGAAGTGTGCAATCTTGCACACTTGCAATGTTGTACTATTAATGAATTTGCTAGTTTCTTGTTTACCTTGATATTGCATAAGTTCACTTTTGATACTCCTCCGCGACGATCTTTGCAATCGTTGTTAGCTGCATGTTGCTCGTTCCTTCGTAAATTGCTCCGATCTTTGCATCACGGTAATATTTCTCCGCAAGCAAGTATTTTGTGAAGCCAATGCCACCAAGCAACTCAATGCACTTGGAAGCCGTCTTTTCAGCCACTCGAGAGGCATGAAGCTTAGCCATGGCAGCTTGTTTTACAAACGGTTGGCCCGAATCCTTGAGACGCGCAGCATTGTACACTAGCAAGCGTGCCATCTCAATATCTAGTGCCGCCTCCGCGTACTGATGTTGCACCGCCTGAAACTCTCCAATCGGCGAGCCGAACTGCTGACGCTCGAACAGATACGGAAGCGTCTGATCATAGACTCCCTGTGCCAAGCCTAACATTTGTGATGCAATACCGATTCGTCCTTCGTTCAATGTACTGATAGCAATCTTGTACCCCTTTCCCACCTCACCCATGATGTTTTCCTTCGGCACTTTTACGTCTGTCAGCGTCACGGGACACGTTGATGACGCACAGATGCCCAGCTTCTCCTCCGGCTTGCCAATCTCCAATCCTTCAGTGTCTCGGTCTACAATAAAACACGTAATACCTTTGTAACCTCGTGATGGATCCACCGTAGCAAACACCAAGTATACGCCAGAATATTCGGCATTGGAGATCCACATCTTCTGGCCCGTGATGGAGTAATAGCTACCATCAGCTGAAGCCTCTGCTTTTGTCTTCAGGGCGAAAGCATCGCTTCCAGATCCAGCTTCGCTCAGACAAAAGCTACCAATCTTTAAAGCCATATCAGAATAATTTCTTCAAACCCTATAAGCAATATACTCACCATATCCGTGCTAAGCCTAGGCAAATACTTCTCCTTCTGTCCCTCCGTGCCATGCATCTAAACGTCATTCATCAGCTACAAGAACAAAACGTCATAAAATTTTCTGCCAACCAACCGACCAAGAAGACATTATTGACAACGGTGTTCTGTAAATCCACGAGCAGTCCCACAACAGGGTCGACTTTCGACAATTCCTCGATAGTCAGACAGAGGCTCATAAAGGAGGCTCCACTACCCCCATAATCTGCCGGAATTTCCACTGCCAACAGTCCATTCTCAAACAGCCCCCGGGTAATAGTGTGATCCATCTCGCCCGCTGAGTCCATCGCACGAACATGCGGCGCCACGACATCAGCCGCAAACCGCGCGACGGTGTCCTTAAACATACTTTCTTCTTCTGACAACTGCGTTAAAGGGGCCAACGAGGACTCATAACGATATTTTACAGAGAGGATTTGGCGGTGAAGCGTTCGCTTGATGCGGCGAGTAGCGGGCAACATAGCGATTGACGTCAGAGTGAAGGTTAAGTCTGCCAAGGGTATGTTGAAGTTGAACGAGCGTCGTCAAGCCAATTTGATGTGATGCACCAATCAAATCTCTCACCATAACAAATACCTCTTTGCAGTGACATTCCATCATCTAATCAGGGAGTCGTTAGCTCGAGGGATCAAGACACAGACCGCACAATCTTCGGTGCATTTATAGCCTCGAGCACGAAGATGAAAATTGATGTCGATTGCGGGATCTCGGATACTGTCCCACTTTACAGAGATTCAGACCATGAAGAAATGGGGTCAGGGGTTTCTGCTGCGTTAGCGTATGCCCGATCATTAAATTTGCAGCCTCCAATCGTGGGAATCACTGTGTTGGGAGCGTTGTTGATGCTATTTGGCGGTACATTTCGCCCCATATATCTGGTCTTCACGCTTTGTGGGTATGGTGCCGTCTTTGCACTCTATCTATCGCACTGGGTATTATCTAAAGACGCAGGTACAGCGGAAATGAAAGAAGTGTCAATACCCATACGTCAAGGTGCTGAGGGCTTCCTGAAGATTCAGTACACTGCCATTGCTCGTATTGCCGTCGGCATAGCTATTTTGATAATCTTCAGCTACGCATTTAGAGCAAGCAACACCTTGAGCTCGGGTGTTGAAAAGCTTGGCAACACGACACTGGGATTAGTGTCTTCCCTGTCATTTCTCATCGGAGCGGTGTGCTCAGCTGGGGCTGGCTACGTAAGTATGTGGGTCTCTGCTAGGTCGAACATTCGTGTGGCTAGTGCAGCTCGAGGATCGTACGGAGAGGCCTTGCTTATCTGTTTTCGTGGTGGTGCCTTTTCAGCCGTGCTGGATATCACTCTTTGTGTAGGTGGAGTAAGTACGCTGTACGTGATGCTGTACCTGTTATTCGGCTCTGTTTTGCTTCCGACGGAAATTCCGTTATTGATGGTCGGATATGGTTTTGGTGCATCTTTTGTGGCACTATTCATGCAGTTGGGTGGAGGTATTTACACCAAGGCAGCAGATGTTGGCGCGGATTTGGTCGGGAAAGTAGAAGCCGGGATTCCAGAGGATGACCCGCGCAACCCAGCGGTTATTGCTGACTTAGTCGGAGATATGGTTGGTGACTGTGTTGGCAGTAGTGCTGACGTGTTTGAGTCTGTAGCTGCTGAAATTATCGGAGCAATGATTCTTGGTGGCACACTAGCGCGTGAAGCTCATCTACCATATCCTGTGGCGTTTGTTTTCTTCCCAGTAGTTGTGCATGCCTTTGATATTGCAGTGAGTAGTGCCGGAATATTCATGGTTAGAGCTCCATCCGACGTCGAGGCGTCACGACCTGATCATAACCCCATGGCCACCTTGCAGACTGGTTACAATGTATCTCTGTCCTTAGCGCTAGTTGGTTTTGCCTTTACAACGCACTGGCTATTGTACACACCGGAATATCCGACAGCATGGATTAATTTCTTTTTGTGCGGTGTTGTTGGTATGCTTACAGCCTACGTTTTCGTTAAATCAACGCAATATTACACAGATTACGCTCATCCACCTGTGCGGAGCATTGCAAAGGCTAGTACAACAGGTCATGGCACGAACATTATTACAGGTGTGGCAGTGGGCATGAAGAGTACGGTTGTTCCGACTCTTATGGTGAGCTTTGCTGTGATTACTGCATATCACTTAGGTGCTAGCTCTGGTATCGGTGGAGTGGGGAATCGTCACGCTGGACTTTTTGGAACGGCAGTAGCCACCATGGGAATGCTCTCTTCTGCAGTATTTGTGCTCTCAATGAACAATTACGGTCCAATCGCTGATAACGCTGGAGGAATCGCTGAAATGAGTCGTCAACCCGATTATGTGCGTGATGCGACGGATAAACTGGACGCTGCTGGAAATGTGACTAAAGCGATAACGAAGGGGTATTCGATTGGCTCGGCTGCCCTTGCGTGCTTTGTGTTGTTTGGTGCGTTCATGGATGAATTTTCTGAGTTTGCCGGTCGAGAGTTTAAGGCGGTGGATATTGCAACGGTTGAGGTATTAGTGGGTGGTTTACTGGGTACAATGATGGTCTTTTTCTTTACGGGACTCGCTGTTGCTGCTGTGGGTGAGACTGCTGGCGAGGTCGTGAATGAAGTGCGCCGACAGTTTGAACTCTACCCCGGAATTATGGAATACAAAGCAAAGCCTGATTACCGCACGTGCGTTGCGCTCGTTACCAAGGCTGCTCTCAAACAGATGCGCTTTCCTGGTCTACTGGCTGTGCTAATGCCTATAGTTGTGGGTCTGACCTTTCGTGTGGTACGTAATTTTTAATCTACTAAGATGAACAAATCTGACAGATAGCTTCTTGTGTATGAAAGATTGGCGAGTACCAAGGCAAACCGTTGTTGGGAGCAGAAGTTTTAGCTGGGTACCTTATGTTTGGCACAGTGACAGGTATCATGATGGCTCTGTTCTTGGACAACGTAGGTGGTGCCTGGGACAATGCTAAGAAGTACGTTGAGTTGGGCAACTTTGGAGGCAAAGGCAGTGAGGCACACAAAGCAGCGGTGACTGGCGACACTGTGGGCGATCCATTCAAGGATACGGCTGGTCCGGCACTACACGTAGTTATCAAGTTGTTGTCCACGACAGTGCTAGTATTCGGTCCGCTTTTTGTGTCGCGAGAGTAAAAATGTGTTTCTTTGCTTTGTAACGCTTTTGTCGTGTTCATCGCAATGCGATTCTTTGACTGGATAAACAATGTAGTTTATATTCAAGACGAAGTCTATGTGTCTGGACAAGTCACACTCACTTCGATACAGAAAGCAAATATAAAGACTCTGGTACTCTTCCTATATCTAATCTTGAAAGTTCAAATTCATTGTGCCTCTGGCAAAATATCGTGAGACGTTACTGTATGTGTGTCCTAGGGGCGGCGGAAGCTGGTTTGGCTTCTTGAGGTTTATGAATCACAGACAAACGCAGGTCCGTCGCGAACTTGACAATCTGTTTTCTGCCATATCTTGTGTTCTTGCCATAACAGCGACTGGTTGCCTGACGGCCTGAGCAACGGAAGTCCCATTTAAGCAGATAGCTTCATCATGCCCTTGACGTGTCCGCCGTTAATCTTGCTGATTCTCATCGAGAAGATTCGGCGGCGGACGATGACGACTTAGTTGATCGCCGTCCGGTGTATCCAGATGCTCTTCGAGCGTTGAAGGACAAGGTCCGTCGACATCAGCACTCTGACGAGCATCTTGCTGAGGTCGCCTACCGCTGTGCAGAAGACCTCGAGAGCCTATAGCACTTTGTGCACCGACTGCCTCACGTTGAGGATTGTCGTGCTCTGTCGGAGCGGCTCCTAGATAAATACCTTGTGCGACGGTGGAGCGCTTGCGCCGTTGGAAACGAAAAGTGTTGTACTCCGTGCTCAGAACCAGTTGCAGACTCAAATTCTGGGTGGCGAGCGCCTTTTGGCGCCACCCCGGCGCCAACGCTTCCGCGTTCACTTGCGCCGGATCCCGGTACGTCTTAAGCAAGCCCACATAAACAACGGGTGGGTGCTTATCCTTCTCTAAAGGTTCAGCATATACGCAAGGCCTCGTTTAGTCACGATCTAAAAAGGTCCAATAAACCGTTGACGGAGCTTTGCCGTAAAACCAGCAGAAACTGCATGTGTAGGAAGGAGTTTAGCATGATATAATACCAGGTCTTCGTCTTCAAAGCTCTGAACATTTGTTCTGCTTCTTCTATCTACATATTCTTCCTGCATGTCTTGGATTTTCAGCCATCGCGTCGCGAACGTGTCGCAAGACACTCAGTCTGGCAGACTGGAAGTCATCGACTTCGTTAGGGACAATAAGGGGCTGACATCAGCTAGCAGTTCGGCTACTCCACCCCCACCAAGCCTTGAGCCATGGGATGGTGGCGTCAGCCGGACGCGAGAATTTACAAGCCCGTTCACGTACAACGGCCTGTAGCCGGTAGTTGAAGGCACTTCATTGTTCAGAGCAAACTCTACGAGTGGCAGCATAGCGCTCGAGCGCTTCGGCGTCTCAGCGCAGACGCTGTGAAGAACGTCTTCAACGACGCGATTCACGCGGTCAGTCTGATCATTGGCTTGCGGATGGTCCGCTGTTGACATAATCAACTTGGTGCCCAGCACCCTGAAGATTGTAGACCAAAACATCCTAGTGAAGCGCGGGTCTCTATCGAAGACAATTGACTCCGGGAGTTCATGCCATCGAATGAGACGATCCACGCTGTACCCATACCGTTGATAGTTTCCAATCATCTTGCTCAAACGGTCCACAAAGACCACCACACCCGTGTTGCCTTCGAGTCTTTCGGCAGACCAAACACAACGTCCATACTCATGGAATGCTAACACCCGAAGGGTATCGGTAAGCTGGCCAGCTGTGCCGCCGCATTCGGAGATATTTTCACCCGTAGACACTTCTCACACGTGCGCACATATGTGCTCGTCCATTTGTACAGCTTGGGCCACCAGTAATGGCAACATACAGAGCTGTATATTCTCTCGACCAAGATGACCACTAAGTGAGGTGTCGTGGGCCTCGCAGCGGATACGGTATTTCAAATCCTCATCATAAAGAGCCACAATTCGTAGCGTTTCCTGTTTTAACACAGCAACCCGTTTTTCAGCAACTACAACCGTGCTCGCAACCGTGCCGACAATTTCTTGTCCGAGTTTTCAAACTCCTTGCTTCCGAAAGCCTGTAGCAGCGCAACAAACATACCATCACCCGCGTCTACAGCGCGGATTAAATCGATTAAAGCCGTAACTGACGACGTCACCGTTGTTACATGAGCAAGCTCATAATTTGGTCTGCGTGACACTGCATCAGCCAAAGCATTCTGTTTTCCTGGCTTATACTTCTCAAAGTTATATTCTGCAAAGAATGACCATCCTCTCCGAGAGGTGAGGCGACTTAGTCGCAGTGCGTAATGACGCATGATTTGTGTAGATCACGATCGACTTTGAGTCAAACAGGTGCATTCTAAACTTGACAAGTGCATTCTAAACTCGACAAGTGCATACTTCATCGCAAGTAATTCCGTGCCGTGGGCTAGGTAGTCCTACTCCGCAGCCCTGAGCTGGCAATATTCGAATGCGATTATCCGATCTCGCCCTTCGGCGTCTACTCGCAGCAGTGCACAGCCGATCTCAAAGTCCGACGCGTCACAGACGACACGAAAGGACGATCGAAGTCTTGTTACGCCAGTATTGGTACATGAAGGAAGCTGTCTTTGACCCTGTCAAAAGTCTTTCGATGCTCGGTGTCCCAACACCATTCTGTATCCAGCTTTAGGAGATTTGACAATGGTCGTGCCATTTCCGCATAATTCTTGCTATACTTGTGCAAGTAGTTGGCGAGGCCAAGCCACTTGCGCAAGTCCTTTTCGTTTTTTGGAACCGGCCAATCCACAAAGGTTGCTGGTGCATTTGACAGCCTTTGGGGCATCACCAGCTACTCCCAGAGCATCCCGCTCGGATAACTCACCGCGGTCAGCGGAATATTACTCGCGCTCATGATCAATTGGTAATAACCATCGACCAAGCCGAGTGCGCTGTACTTTTTACAGCCAACCATATTGTGTAAGAACATTCTTTCCAGGAATCGGCGTGTGTGCCGGAATGGTGGCAGCGTTTTGCTAATTGTAAGCGTGATCGACACGCCACTTGCCGTTCGGTTTCCGAAAAATGAAACGTGGGTGTCGAATGGGAAGACTTGCTCCCACACACCATTCCTGCGTCGTGCTTCGCACGGAAAATGCCGGTAATGACTTCACACTGCTTTTTAGGCAAGGGCCATTGGCGTGTTACGCAGGATTTGGCTCCGAAGAAGCAGAAGAGATGTAGTAAACTTTGAGGTCCCGAGACCAGGTCAATCTCATGACGCACACCTTGGTCTAAAGGTAAGACCGACGGCAATTCTTTGGAGACGAGGTCTTGAAAATCCTCTATCAAAGGATAGGTCGGATCCGAGAGATCCTTTAGAATCAAATATCCAGTTTGTGCGTTCAGCACCTTCTTAGTGTCCTTCAGAATAGCTTTATCTAGAAGCAACGACGTATCAATTTCCTCATTATATATATATATATGACCGCCTCGGCTCAAACACCAAAACGCATTCATGCTCGTTGATTTCTGCATAGATTAAAGCACGACCTACGGCAAAAGTTGGTGCGACACAGGCGACATGAAATGGCCGCGTCAGATTGAAAAAGGCTAAACTACAAATGCAAAGATTTTGCGCTCACAGTTATGAGCGCTACCCCTTCTGCTGTAGCATAGCACTATCTGTAATGGGCTACATGTATCCATTCAATGACATTAAGGTACATCTATGTACCTTCTGTATAGATTGTTGGAATTTGTAAAAGGAAGTTACAGTATGATGCTTACAAATGCATAGGTGCCATCTTATATGATGTCACAAACATCCTGTGTGATTCAGAATGTTGATTCCCACTTAAGATTAAGCTGATGACGAAACCGACGTGTCTCTGCGTTTTGAAGGGGGTGGCGTACGCCAGTCACCTCTACTGGATAATATTCACGAAAGCTGGAAAACAAGCATTTTAAGCTCAAAATTTGTATACCCAAGATCTTGTTTGGGATCAATCAGTCTCAACACACCCTTGATTTTATAGATCAGGAATCCGATGTTTTGTTAGTAAAACCTCTAGGAGCCCTTGAGGTGTTTTGCATGTAGCTAGAACGGCCTTTGAACTAAGCTCGATTTTGTTTTGATGAAGCGTTTGCTGACAATGTCGTGTATTCCCGGCCAAGTCATATACTTGCCCTTGTCTGAGAGACATGGAGAAAGTTGGAGTACAAATCGGCCCATCTGTCCACAAACTGAGATGTCGAAGAAGCTGCTGTAGTGAGCTCACTGCAGTCGTCTTCACTGGATGATCAGAAGAACACAGCTGTCACTTTCATGCATCATAAGATTATGGAATCTCAGAATTAGGTCGCACTCCCTGTTTCTTCGTACAGAACGATGCCTCTGAGGCTGGACGGGGTGATTGAGAAAACAAGTCTCTCGCGATGGTTTTTCAAGTTAAATGCAGCAATCAATGATTGACAACTGCGAGATCCCTTGTAGCGAGTATGTCTAACTTTGCGGGTCGTTCAAAGCGTTGGTTGTATGGTAAGCGTTAAGCCGATCTAAACTGCGTTGTCCGAATCATCTTGAACCATACTGATGCAGTCTGTTTAAGCCCATACAAGCTGCGGCGTAATTCACATACCATGCCAGGTTCGACCTTGATACCCCCCGGAGGTGCATGTAGACGATTTCTTCACGATAACTGTTGAGGAATGCCGTTTCGACGTCATACTGCCAAATCGCATAGTCGTTTGCACAGCATATAGAAACGTTCGAATGGTGTTCATGCTGGTCACAGGTGATCGGTATTGAAATAGTCAACACCGTGTGTCTGGAGGAATCCACGGGCCACTAGTCGAGCTTTGTGTCGTACCACGTTACCACGCTCGTCATACTTTCAAGCAAACACCCATCTCAAGCTTATCACTTTTCACCGCGAAGCTTCGTGACAATATCCCACGTGTGATACTTCACATCAGAGCGTATCTCGTTTCGGATTGCTTCTTTCCATTCGGCAGATTCAAGGTGTCATGGCTTCTTGGTTCAAATCA